ATGTGTGTGTACGTGAGAGAGGATGAGGATGGGGATGGCTGTGTTTCCAAATGGGGATGAGAGGAAAAGCTAGGCACATAACGCGCCAAGTCCCGCTACATCTAGTCGGAGACGACAACGACACTTCATGACGTGTTATGTTTATCGGAAAGGATTCTCTGAAACCATTTAGAGCTGTGCGGGGTACTTGGATCTGCTTGGATTTCAGGTTGGGGAGTGGCAGGTCGCAACTGGGTATACATACATGGCAGATGGGGAGGGGGGGTCTTGGGGTGATCCTTTTTTCTGAAGGGGGCGCTGCTGGTTCTTTACCTGGCTGCCTGTGTTCTGGGAAAGACCACCTTCAGCTAGCCCCTCGCAGGTTATGCTGCTGGAAGTGCTATTTGTTGTTATCACCTTCGTCATTATTTTTATTCTGAGGTTGGAAAAAGAGGGCTCGCTGGGAACAGATTCCATGCGCAGGGAACAGAAGTGCCTTGGCTTCTCTTGTTTGTTAAAGCAACACCTATATGCCTCATAGTGCAATCCTGTGCAGCTTTGATTAAACTGCATTATGGTGGTGGTGGTGGTCTGTATTTAAACCTCTTTCCTATGTTATGAAAGTGACATTTTGTCACTTGTTTTACTTCTAGGATGAGGGACCCAGACATGTTGCTGTAATTGAAAAACTCATTCAGCGCCGTCCAATGCCTTATTAAAAAGACTGCATTTAGTTTTCTCTTAACAGATGAAATGTAAGATTTCTAAAATGTTTATAGAGCTCACAAACACCAGTGCATATTGCAAAGAATGTACCAGGTCCCTCTTATTAGCTAGGCTTAGGGTAATCAGACCTAAGGGTGATGAGTGAACCATATACAGTATGTAGCATTTTTAAATCTAGAGGAATGCTCCTTATTTTGGTTCTGGAATTATGTATCTCGGTATGGATATGCACATCAGTCAGTATTCATCTAGATACTCCTTTGTTTATCTATTTCAGAGACCCATCTAACATCGTCTGAAGTCACACTACCATATGTTCCACTGTTCTGATGTCAAAATGGGAAGTCTTTTTCAGTGTTTGCAGCCTTTGCCTGTCATATTCCAGACGCTCACATACAGTATTGTCATAGTTACTAGAGTGTGAAAAATAACAACACAGAAAATCTTTCGCCTCTGTCCTAAATCTGAAAGTTATTCAGAGATATCAGATGTGAGGCATAAATCTAGTGGCATTATTTTTTTTCTTTTGGTAGAGGGGTGGATTTGCATCATGTCTTCACAACTCTCTTTAACATGTTAAGGCTGGAAATGTGTGCACAATTTCCTGCGAGTATGATCCATTGAACACGAATTTGTTCAACAGATTTGTTTCCATTACACAAAACAGATTTGTTTGTAAGTAAACATGCATAGAATTGTGCTGCCCAGTAGCAAAACAGTACACACCTATTTCCAAGCTAGTACGTATAGAAATTGTGACATAATTCAGAGTGAGCGTTCACAATATTGGGCTGCATATATTAAAAGTCCAGTTAAATCACAGGGGGAGGCTTTCAATGATTATGGTTAACCTCATTTGAAGTTATATTCAGTCTTTTGAATGATACCTCTTAAGATTTAATCATCTTTAATATTCAGATATGCTTTTTCATTAAATAAGGAAGCATTATTCCGTGCCTTTACTATTACTCTATTAAAACACAGCTCCCAGCGATGTTAAGAAAAACCCACCTAGTGATAGAATCGTATATACATTTTGTGAATTTATCTGCCAATAAATTTAAAATCTAAGATACAGTAGGTAGTCAGTAAGGCTATTAAATTCTTTTACCTAGTTGGGCTGCACTTTTTCTAGCTGTGTGACCTCTGGAAATCCAGCAGGTGAAGTTCTAATAGTGATAGAGAAAAACTCAGTTCAGTCCAACCTTGTATGTTTGTTATTGAGCTGTAGATGATCCAAAAATCCTGCCAGGGGAATATGTGCTCCCTAACAAAGGTGAGTGGGGACCCAAAATCAAATAATTCTGGAGAGCTAATCATCTACTCAAGCTAGCCTACTTCCGGTGGGTTGTGTTTGCATGTCCGGCTCAGCAGTATTTAGTGGTCTGTTGTTGTTTTCGCCATGAAGATTCCTGCAGATAACCAAACATGCCACTGTTTTTTTTCCTCCAGGTCTGATCTTTTTCTCTTCTGCGCCTTTTGTCAGGCCCTTTTTCATGGCAAGCAGCTAGGGAAGTAAACTGAGGATGAGACATAGTTTTAGGTTCTGATGTAATAACAACCAGTGGTGTAAATTGGACAGAGTTTATAAATTAACCATGAATTATGACTTTTAACTGGCTGGCTAATAAAAGTATACTTTGTTTCCAGGGTTAGGTTTGGAGACAACAAGGCAGAATTCAACAAAATACCACCTGAATTTACCATTACATGCAAGCCTAGCCATGATAACTGTGAGATTATATATTTTGATAAGGAACCACAAAGTTGAAAGGCAGATTGATTCAAAATAGCTCTATTATATTTGCTATTGAATGACTGGATAGTGGTTGCAATAATCTGAATTCAAAGAGGACATAAGGTTTGGATTTGAGCTGGTTTGCTTAGCAGTAGTGGTACTCGTGTATTTTATATTTCACAGATGCATAATACTTCTTTTGTAGTACTAGCTTGCAGCTACATCTTTGTTTAGCACTAATGCATTTGGCTTGATTTAAAATAGGAGCAATGTCTTTTGAGTGTTTTGTCTTCTGCCAGATATAAAGCCCAGCATTTTAGAAAACTGGTAAAGGAAAGATACTTATAGGTTGACCTGTCAGATATAAATTGAAAGAGTGCTGCAGAAGAAGACAATATTCTTTATGCTAAGCAAGAATGTTTTCATCTTTTAGTGCAAAAGGTTTATTTTGTCTTATCTCAAAAATAAGTGTGTTTGAAAAATAAATCTTGTTAAATCTGTGATTCTAATTATGATCACTTGAAATGCGGAAGGCATCTGAACTGGATTTTAGACAAAGCTAATACAAAGCTTTATGATTTCTCATTTTATCGGGTAATTCAAAAGTACATTTTCTTTATTTATTTTTCTATTTTTGTTATTGACAAATACTACTTTTTACATAAAATCCTACTTTTGCATCTTTATAAAGATAGATATTGCTTTTGTATTCTCTATTGCCAATCCCCTTACTCCACCAAATTTGATCTACCGGTGTTCATCTGTGTTTTTATTATGGAAATGGTGTAAGGATTCCGAGTGAGCAGTGAATAAAAAAAATCAGTATTCAAACAATCAATTCGCTTACTAAATATGAACATGAGAGCTAATAGAATAGCATTTCCTTTTCTTATGGCTAAGGGTGACTGTGTGGATGGCTGTATTTAAAGGATTTGGACATTGTGAGAATTTTTTTTTAAGATTCAATAAAACATTTAATTGTTTGGGAGTTACACCAGTCAGCCATCTGAGTTTTGATAGAATATAAAAGAAGCATTAAAAGCAAGATTTAGTCTGTTTATCTTTGAGGAGATTTATGAAACTGTAGACTTCCAGATGTTATTGGACTTCTGTCATCCCTTGTCATGAATGTGGAATACTGGGAGTTGTGCTAAAGGGTGGGGATCTGTTTGAAATAGTACAGTATTCTCCTGAGCACTGGAGTAATACATTGGCTGGAATCCTATTGCTTAATTATGTTGGAATAACACAAGAGATAAAGTGAATTGCCATAAGTTAAGAAATCACTGTAGACATTATCTGTTGGACACTGGGTTGTGTGACTCACCATGCAACTTATAACGTCTACAGTGATTTCTTAACTTGGGGCAGTTTGCCTCCAAAGGTTACACAGTTTTTGTAGCTATACAGTGGTGCACCGCAAGACGATGTTAATCCGTTCCATTGAAATTGCTGTCTTGTGAAAACATTGTTTTGCGAAAACCGTTTCCCCATTGGAATGCATTGAAATCCGTTTAATGTGTTCCAATGGGGAAAATCGTTGTCGTTTTGCGAAGATCGCCCATAGGGAAGCCATTTTGCGAAGCGCTGATCAGCTGTTAAAATGGTTGTCTTGCGAAGCATCGGTCCCAAAAAACACCTGTTTTGCAAAGTGCTGATCAGTGTCAAAATCGTTATCATGCGGAAAACGGTTTGCGAAGCACGGACTGAAACATTGTCCAGTGAAAATCGCCAATTGGAAACACTGTTTTGCAAAGCGCTATAGCGATCGCAAAACCTCATCGTCATGCGGATTCGTCATTTTGCGATGTCATCGTCTAGTGGGGCACCACTGTACAAGAGAATTTCGGCCATTAATTTTAATGCAATAAAATTTAATTCACCTCGTTTGCTTAATGCAGACATAATGGTACCAATCAGGTAACAGCTAAGACACAGA